CCCAACCCCCCCCCCTCCCCACACCAAAAAAAAAGAAAGGAGAATTACATTCAGGTCCCCTAAGATTTGTCACTTAATTACTCAGATCTCTTGACATTTAAAATATTACACACAAATTCTGGAGGTTTGTATGTGCGTAACACTTAGACCCCTGTTGTAAATATATCCATTAATAAATTATATTTAGACCCCTTTAAAATTTGTGGGTATATAATACTTAAACCCGTTAAGTTTAAAATATTATATTTAGACCAAAAATACTCCAATCAAATATCAAATATCAAATATCAAATATTTTAAATTTAAAAACCAAAATTCATGTTCTATTATATCATTTATTGAAATAAAAATTTAATTTTTTCTTAAAAAAATCGTAATTAGTATACACTTATACTATCTATTGGAATAAAACTAAAAAAAAATCAAACAATGGGTCTAAGTCATTCATAATAGAATATGAATTTTACATCAAAAATTCATGTTCTATTATGTTATTTATTGAAATAAAATTAAAAAAAATTAATTTTAAAAAAAACATAATTAGTATATATTTATACTGTTTATTAGAACAAAACAACAAAATTAAATAAGGAATCAAATTGTAATGGATACAATATATTTTAGATTTAATTGCGGTAGTTTGATATTTTAATTTGGTCGTTTAAAGGATTAAATTAAATTCTAATAGACAATATAATTATATACCAATTACAATTTTTAAGAAAAAAATGAATTTTTATTTTTGATTTTATTTCAAGAAATGATACAATAGAACATGAATTTTGGTTGTAAAATTTAAAATATTTGATTGGAGTATTTTTATTCTAAATATATTATTTTAAACTTAATGGGTCTAAGTATTATATATTCACAAACTTTAGGAGAGTCTAAATGTAATTTATTAACGAGTATATTTACAACAGGAGTTTAAGTATTACGCGTGTGCAAATTTCAGGAGGTCTGTGTATAAAATTTTAAATATCAGAGGGTCTAACTGATTAAGTGACAAACTTTAAGATATCTGAATGTAATTCTCCAAAAAAAAAAAAAAAAACCAAACACCTCACCCGGACGCCCCTGGTCCCCGTGGTCAATGGCAGCCTAAACCCTCTCCGAAGCGTCAGAAAATTCGCCGCCGCAGCGCACAGTACGTCAAAGTGACGATCAGAGTCATCAACTAGGGTTTAACACTGTTTGATTCATACATAGATTCACAAGTATAAAGTTCTACAGTAATTTTCCTAAATAATCAAAAAAAAAAATGTCAGTTCCTTCACCTAGTTCTTGTATATCAAATCTTCTCAGTGTATCAAACGACTCCGATTCAACGAAGCGATGTGTAAGTCATAATGTGATAGTAGAATTTAGGGTTTTACGGTGTTCTCAATACTCTACTTCGGGAAAGCTTTTAGCTTTCAATTATTCGAGTGGGAAAAAGAGAATATTCAGCGTCAAATGCACCAAATCGGGGACTGGTTCAGAGCCTACGAAGATTTCGGAGGAACCAGCAAAAATTGATGATGGAAGTGGCGGAGATGGTGGGAATGGGTGGTTGCCGCCGGGAGGAGGTGGCGGTGGCGGTAGCGATGATGGTGGAAAGAATGATGAGGAGTTTATGACGTATGAAGAGGTGATGAGGGAGGTGGAAAATCGAGGTGGGTCGAATCTTCCTTCGGATATGTTGGAGGCTGCAAAGACTACGGGGCTTAGCAGACTTATTCTTTCTCAATACTTGGATTTTCAGGTGAGAATGGGCTTGAGAACACATTTTTCCATTTGGAGTAGATTCTTGTGTTGGTTTATTATTGGATGTGCCCTTGAGTTGGCATCTGATTTTGCAGGGGTCTGTTTGGCCGCTAGGCTTTCTGATTAGACACTCCACAATGCTGCGGAATCGGATGCTAGCTGATCCTTCTTTTCTGTATAAAGTTGGATCTGAGGTTTGTTTTGTCTACTGAATTGGTGTCAGTATAAAGTTGTTTGTACTTTGTACTCATTAATTTGTTGTGCCTCCTACTATTTTAAGTCCTGCGTTAACAGAAATAATTCGATTTTTTTTCATGCTTGTTCATGCTCACCAGGGTCTTGTGCCATTTAACTGATATCAGTCATTGCAAAATTGTTATGTTTAGTTTGCAGCTCTGTCTTGGTTGGTATTTTTCTTTGTCATGTAGTTTTCAAAGCTGATTGATTGTTTGAGTTTGATGGCATGTTCATATAGTAGCAGTTATATATATCCTATGACTTGATGATTTCAGCTGGTTTGGAGTTTTGGACTGTCCTAAACATAATGTTGAATTGTTTGTACAATTTATGAATCTCAATAAAATATGATACAGGTAGTGATTGATTCTTGTTGTGCAACATTTGCGGAAGTTCAGAAGAGAGGAAAGGATTTCTGGGCAGAATTTGAGCTGTATGCTGCAGACCTTTTGGTTGGCATAGTTGTTGACATTGCTTTGGTTGGTATGTTAGCACCATATGCTCGTATTGGGAATAGACCAGTTTCAAGCGGCTTCTTTGGAGGCTTACAAAATGCATGTGCATCCCTTCCAAGCAGGTTAATAACGCATGCCAGTACCTTGAGACTGTATTGACACTTAATCCACATTCAGGCTTTGACTTTTGATTTGTTGTTATACTTCTCATCAGCAATCAGCCTCATCATATCTCTTATCTTTCATGCTAGATAAGAACAAGTAGTAGTTATGTGTAGGCTATAGCTCAATATTAATCTAGCCTTAGATTATGAGAAATGGTTGTTCAAAAAACTAATTTTGAAGCAGAAAAGAAGGGTAAGAATTTGGCTTTTTAGGATTTTTCAGGATGCAGACTCTTGCAGGGTCTTGAAAGATATACATAGCAATTATTAATGTCAGTTTTTGTCTTTCTTTTATAGAAAATCAAAATCGGTGATAGTGGTAGGTAGTCATGCAATTGACTTGTGATTTGGTTTTTCAAACTGATGTTGACAAATTGCAAGTGCAATGTCTCATGCATTCCAAACATGTTAGGAAGTTAGATATCAAGTCTGAAAGGGCCAGCCTGATGCATATCAAGGACACACCCCTAATGCATATGAAGAAGTGACCGATGCAAGGACCTCTCCTCTTTGGATGAGTTTGGGTAAAATAATGGGAAAGGAAAGAAAATCTGTATTGCCTATGATGCAGTTGGTTTCTTTGGTTTGAGTATCCAGACGGCAATTGCATGTGTAGTGTGAGAAACATTAAAATCTGAAGCAGTGAAAATGTATCTTGCATATTATCTTCAAACGGGGCTTGTTCTGCTGTCTTTTTTTATTTCTTCTGTCGTTTTATTTGGTTAAAAAAGGGCTAAAGCCCAAAAGTTATATTTAAAAAATTGTGCCAAGCTGCATCTACAGTTTATTTTGTTATCAATGGGTTTAACATGATGGAGGAGATTGGAAGTTTATAGCCCAAGGGTATGTTTTTTGGGTTGAGGATAGAAATGGTATGTATTTTCTTGAGGCATCTGGAAGTCATAATCATGTGTAATTACTTAGGAAGTATGGCCAAACATTAATTCCTGAAGAATGGCCTGACAATTAGTGAACATAGCATGATGAATACCCACGTTGAAAGTGAAATTACCCTCATGCTCCAGCAGCATTCTGAATCCTATTACCTGCTCAAGTTCCCGTCAAGCTGATCTCTTTGATATTATTACACTGATTACCTGCCGTAGTTACATGAATATAACTTAGCAACGTAAATGTCGACATCCTATTTGTACTACTTACGCTGCCATTATACTTTCATTTGACTTGCTCTTTTTTCCCATCACATTGGATGGATTAATGTGTGTGTTGGATTTTTTTAGGGATCCGATGCCCTTGTTTCTGTTCATTTGTTTTGGTCACTGTCCTTCTATCAGAATCCTCTGTACAATGTGCTCAAATATGAGTATCCAGTGATGTTCTGATATTAGTAAGATCCATATTTCTTAAAACATTGGACTCAGCATCTAAGGGGCTCCCAAGGAATTAGTGATAGAGTTAGCTCCTTCGAGTTTTAGCTTAAGAAACAAGGAATAGGGATATGATCTTTCTGGGTTTTTTTATATGAAAAACAGAATCTCTGCAACAGTTGTGATTACCTTTTATTGCTTTAAGACTTCACAATTGATAGAAACATCTAGCTGACTGAATATAAGAAATAATTGAAGTTTGATTAGAAGCATTGAATTGCAAAATGAGCAGAATTCAGTTACTCGTAGTGCTTTCCAGTATAGTTAAGAAAAATCCTGGTGCTAAACTGCCTGAGGTGACTAAATTCTCTTTCAGGTTGCAACTTGGGCTGCTTATCTGTGGCACTATAAATTCTTGATTGTTGCCCTATACTTGAGAAAGTACAAGGCAACAGGACTTTGTTTTCTTATATACTGAATGAGCTGACCACTTGAATTTTATTTACGTATATATAATTATGTATAAACATGTGTTGTTAGGGTAAGGGCCGTAAGGCTTTGTTGAGTTGAGTTGAGATATAAATATGTGGCTGTTGAAATTCTATTGCCTATAAAATAGATTGGTTGTGCAGTGTTTTTGAAGCTGAGTCATCAGGATGTAAATTTTCTGTGAAGCAGCGGATTGCGACATATTTTTACAAGGTATGACACCATTGTACTGCTTTGGGCCATGCAGAGCACAACTCTTGAGTACAAAATGTGCTTCTCTTTGTTTGTCCAAATCCCCATTTACATTCTTTATCCTTTTCCTAATGAATTTTTTGACCTTCAAGTACTGCTTTCGGACTACCTTCTTGATTCCTCTTTTAGTTCATACGAGTGGGTGAAGCTTACTTTTTTGGTATTTATTACATATTTTAATTATTGACTTGCTCACTTTGGATCCAGGGTGTGTTGTATGGGTCAGTTGGATTTGGGTGTGGTATTATTGGGCAAGGCATTGCAAACCTGATCATGACAGCCAAACGGTACACTTCTCTCTTGGGGTATCATGTTTTTAGTTATCTTTTTAGAATGACTTTATCGTAATGCCTTCTTAAGATAAATGAGATATTCTCTCTCTCTCTCTCTCTCTCTCTCACACACACACACACACACACACATACACACACACACACACACACACGGGGCTGGCTGGATTTGATCAGTACATTGAACTTTGATTAATTTGAGAAGCAGCAAATCAATTTGAAATTGCCCAAGAAGAAACTCTCTGCTTAAAATTCTTGAAACTGCATAACAAAAAATTTTGCATTACCAAATTATATTCCGTCCCATCAACCCAACATGTGGACTTCAAAGATCCTAAAATAGTTGTGTCCCTGCTGCAAACCAATATGTGGACTCTAGAGGTTTATAAAACAATATTTTGCCTGTGTTCTGCAATCTAATCCAATGTATCTTTTCTGCATACTATTGCAGGCCACGGCATGGCTCTTCTATATAAGTTCTTGAAAAATTCAATTGAGTGAAAATGCATCAATGTATTTTTTAATTGTATTTGTTCGAACATAGTAGGTATATACTTCTCAATTGTAATGAAAAAACCGGGAAATGATTTTTTTCAATTTTCTAAGAAACATTTTCCACTTTAGAACGATTAGTAAGCCAAACCAAACTCAGCCTCGTTCCATTCAGTTGGGGTCAGTTACTAGAATCAATTTTTGTTTTCCATTCCATTATGTCAAGGGCTTCTTCATGGTTTGTTAAGATACAAGCAACCATAACTTTCTTCATTATCTCACTCCATTTTAGTTTTGGACTTCATCTTTTCTTATCGTTCCCCATAATGGTGATCATATCACTTTTTAACTGTTGCATGTATCAGTGGTCTTCATTGTGCATTGGATGAGAAAGTCTCTGAATACAGCTCCTGCAGAGTTACTAGAGTTTTGCCTTCATATGTTTGCAATATGCGCACAATTGAAATGACATACATATTTTCTTAATTTCCTTCTTTCTTTTTTGTCTCTTTTTCTTTTATTCCCTATTTCTTGGTATTGTAATCTTTTTCTGGTTGGCTGGAGCATAACTGGTGTGTCATCCTCATGCATTTTTCAGCGTGCTTATTATATCATTTTCTTTGCCTTTTATTTATTTGTTCTCTTTCAGAGGGGGTTATTATTTACTGGTATTATTACCTACATGACAGGAGCATCAAGAAATCGGAAGAGGACATACCTGTTCCTCCTTTACTGAAAAGTGCTGCTCTCTGGGGTATGTTTGACCGAATTGCTTGGAGTTTTGTTATTGTTGACTAGTTTCATTCTTCCACAAAATTTACAGTTCCCAAGGGTCTCTTTTTTCTGGAAAGTATTTTTTCTGAAGCTCATTTTTTCGATGTGATTCTGTCTAGAGATATCATATGATTTTTTTCCCCTTATCTTTTTCTTTGTTATTGTTCTACCTGTGTGGTGCAATGTCCATTTAGTATATATATCCAGTTAAAGTGAATGCCCAAAAATTGTTCTTTGCTCTGTTCTTGCTGTACTGTGTAACTTCTGAAGGTTAACGTATCTTTTGTAATGAAGTATAAGTTGCCTCAACACATCTGAAGCTATGTTTACGGCCATGGTGGTCAACATGGACAATGCATGTTTTACCGCCGGGTTTTTTTTTTTTTTTGGGGGGGGGGGGGGGGGGGTGTTTTTTTATTTTTTT